TTTACACATTTCTTTCCGGGTCCCGCCCAGGGACCTAAGGTTAGAAATGGCGTCATGACACTTTCCACTGACAAAAAAAAAAAAAAAAAAAAAAAAATATTACATAGATAAAGCCCTTCGTAAAGTGTGGGTTGTACTTGTTAGAACAATTATTTGTACCTCCTTGAGGCATAGACTTCCAGGAATCCCTTCAATTAGTCTACTGCAATCTTTTCCAACCAGTCCTAGGGCTCCAACTACAACAGGGATTGTTGATGTTCCCATATGCCACATTTTCGAGATTTCTATTTCAAGGTCCTTGTATTTTGACAGCTTTTTGAATATCTTTAAAGATACATTGCAGTCAGCAGGGACTGCCATGTCAATAAGGAGGCACTTTTTTTGTTTGTGGTTTTTAATAACAATGTCTGGGCGGTTGGTTTTGATTGTTCTGTCAGTGTGTTATTATTATTATTATTATTATTATTATTATTTTTATTTTCTTTGATTTCTGGCGTTTACACATTTCTTTCCGGGTCCCGCCCAAGGACCTAAGGTTAGAAATGGCGTCATGACACTTTCCACTGACAAAAAAAAAAAAAAGAAAAGAAAAATTAAATTACATAGATAAAGCCCTTCGTAAGGTATGGGCTGTACTTGTCAGAACAATTTTTTGTACCTCCTTGAGGCATAGACTTCCAGGAATCCCTTCAATTAGTCTACTGCAATCTTTTCCAACCAGTCCTAGGGCTCCAACTACAACGGGGATTGTTGATGTTCCCATATGCCACATTTTCGAGATTTCTATTTCAAGGTCCTTGTATTTTGACAGATTTTTGAATATCTTCAAAGATACATTGCAGTCAGCAGGGACTGCCATGTCAATAAGGAGGCACTTTTTTTGTTTGTGGTTTTTAATAACAATGTCTGGGCGGTTGGCTTTGATTGTTCTGTCAGTGTGTTATTATTATTATTATTTTTATTTTCTTTGATTTCTGGCGTTTACACATTTCTTTCCGGGTCCCGCCCAAGGACCTAAGGTTAGAAATGGCGTCATGACACTTTCCACTGACAAAAAAAAAAAGAAAAAAAAAAAAGAAAAGAAAAATTAAATTACATAGATAAAGCCCTTCGTAAGGTGTGGGCTGTACTTGTCAGAACAATTTTTTGTACCTCTTTGAGGCATAGACTTCCAGGAATCCCTTCAATTAGTCTACTGCAATCTTTTCCAACCAGTCCTAGGGCTCCAACTACAACAGGGATTGTTGATGTTCCCATATGTCACATTTTCGAGATTTCTATTTCAAAGGTCCTTGTATTTTGACAGTTTTTTGAATATCTTCAAAAAGATACATTGCAGTCAGCAGGGACTGCCATGTCAATAAGGAGGCACTTTTTTTGTTTGTGGTTTTAATAACAAAATGTCTGGGCGGTTGGCTTTGATTGTTCTGTCAGTGTGTTATTATTATTATTATTTTATTTTCTTTGATTTCTGGCGTTTACATTTCTTTCCGGGTCCCGCCCAAGGACCTAAGGTTAGAAATGGCGTCATGACACTTTCCACTGACAAAAAAAAAAAGAAAAAAAAAAAAAAAGAAAAGAAAAATTAAATTACATAGATAAAAGCCCTTCGTAAGGTGTGGGCTGTACTTGTCAGAAGAATATTTTGTATCTCCTTGAGGCATGGACTTCCAGGAATCCCTTCAATGAATCTACTGCAATCTTTTCCAACCAGTCCTAGGGCTCCAACTACAACAGGGATTGTTGATGTTCCCATATGTCACATTTTCGAGATATTATTATTATTATTATTATTATTTCCTTTGATTTTTGTTGTAAAGCCAACCAGAGACCTAAGGTCAGAAATGGCATTATGACATTTTCCACTGAGAATTTCTGTAAAAAAAGAGACAACCAAAGATTACACACATTTTACATAAATAAAGTCCTTTGTAAGGTGTGAATTTACTTGCGAGTACAAGTTTTTGTATTTCTTTAAGGCATAGGATAGCAGAGATCACTTCAATGAGTTTATGGGAACCTTTTCCAATCACTCCGTGAGCTCCAACGACTATTGCAATTATTGATGTCCTCATGTGCTTCATCTTTTAGATTTCCACTTCAAGATCCTTGTATTTTGACAGCTTTTTGAAGATCTTCAACAATATATTACAATCTGTAAGGACTGTCATGTCACATAATATTTTTTGGTTTTGATCACAATATCTGGGCGATTACCTTTGATTGTTCTGTCTGTGTATTGCAAAAAACCCCCTTATATTTTTTTACAGGTCCTATATTTTTAAACTGGTCTAGGTGGTGTTCATACCAGCTTCTTGTAGTTTCTTTCCCGTAAATGTTGCAGATTTTCCAGTGCAGATATTGACACACTCTATCATGCCGTGTTTTATATTTAGTGGGTGCTAATACCGTGCAATCTGATACAAGATGCTCATAATATTCGAGGTCAGTGATTTAGGAAGTTTTCTTTTCTTAAAAAAATTATCTAGCATGTCTTGAGTATAAAAGCTTATTCTGAATATTTGAGCTCTAGAGTAAAATCTTAAATATCTAAAATGGTGAAAGGTTTATTGGGATTTTCTTATTGTGCATATTATTATTCTTGTTATTAATTCCTAGTGCTCCTATTATTATTGGAATAACGGCTGTGTTTAAATACTGTTCTTACAATTTCTATTTCCAGGTTCTTATATTTTAAAAAAATATCAAATTCTTTTGCTGAGGTGTTTTTACCAGACGAGGTAGCCATTTCTGTGGTATAGCACTTACGTTTTCGAAGTCTTTTAGGCTACAGGTGATGGTTTGTGTTCATAGTATTTTAGTATATCTTTCAATGTAGGTATTTTTATATCCTCCCTTATGTATATTTGTATTTATTTGACGCTGTGGTTAAAACACCAATATATTATATGGTGATATTCTAAACGTAGTTTAAATGTGGCAAAAGGATGGAAATTTAGGACACCCTGTGAATATCACTACTCAATAGTAATCGATCTAGAAAGCCAAGTTTGCTAAACATTACATCACGGCGAAGTGCCACCACCAAAATATTATATGATCAATAGTTTTCTCTAGCGTTTGTACAAAATCAACATTTTGGCTTTGTTGCATTTATTAAAATATGCGTTTTGTAGGATCTCATTGAGTGTTGTCAACAACAAGAGCTATAAAGTATAGGAAGTTATAGGAAGCCATGGTCACTCGCGGTCTGAAGGGTCACACTAAATGAAATAAGTAGTAATAGTAGTAGTAGTAGTATCTGCAGGAACCTTTTTGCCATTGAAATATTGAAACCTATTAAAAGTAGCTTAGAGGGATTCTCAACTAAATGAGATGGGGCGTGGTTCTAATAAGATTATGTTTCATCAGCCTTGCGAGAGGGGACAGATTGCTTGTAATAAAAATCAATATTCTAAAACTTGGCTTACTCAGGATTGAAAACTAGCATTTAACATCGCTCAGAAATACACAACCAATCCAATAATTTTACTGGTTATCAATACTGCTGTCACAACACAAACGTTTTTTTTTATTATCTTACTCCAATAATCATCTTTTTTTCAGTTTTTCTTATTCTTTCCAATATTATACTCACAAATACCACCATCAATTTAACTGTTTTTTACTCACCTTTTTTCACGATTATTATTATTAGTATAATTAGTTTAGTACTTGTGACTTCTCTAACAGCAGAAATGATACAATTTCAAATCTAAATTAAATTCCATTTAAAATACTAGATTATTAGAAAATATAATTGGTTAAATACAAGAGCGATAAAAATGACTTGAAAAGGCCAGACAATTAGGTTTATACTATTTCCTGTTATCCAGGGGTTGTTGCCAGACAGAAAGGGAAATTAACCCTTGCAACACAGAAGTTGTGTATTTATGTAAGTTTGCATGCAGTCATGTATATTTTAATTCAATGGTAGATATAAACATATTTCAACCATAAAAATTAAAAGAAAATTTTATTTATTACAAATAACACTCGAGAAGTTCAGTAAAGCTTATAAGTACCTGATATTTTCGGGTTTAATTTTTTCTTTTCCTAATTTCCGTTTTTATGTTTATAATTGCTCAGTCCAGGATAGGGACTGTCTAGACTGAGTAAGAAGGAAACGTACTATTTCAGTGTCTTATTTTATATTCAATTTATATTCGTACAAACTGTGTTATTATGTGTGTGTGCTTGTATATACATTAAATGTCATAAGTACTTGTAATTCACTGGCTCACAACACAGATATAGGCACGTAAATTACATGCACTCATGGAAAATCCCACGCAGACAGTGCGTGACGGACAGAGAACCAGCCATCTTTTTATAATATAGATTATTATTATTATTATTGAGGCCTCGCCATTCTTATTCTGCGCATAAACGTTTCGTACCAATTTGGCTGAATGTTTTCTGGTGTGAATATTGAAGCAATGATTCGTAACTTTCGTGACTTGCTTCGTTTCGGCTCAGCAAGATATTCGTGGCAGCCGACTTGAAAGCTGATTTTCCCGGCAATCTTATTCACTCGTTGCCGGCAAAACTTGGAAACTTTGTGTCATGGTGTTGGCGAGTTTCAGCGTTCTCTAATTGCGCGCGTTCATTGTTGTTGAGCAAGGGAGAGAGAGAGATAAAGAAGGAAAAAGAGAGAGAGAGGGTAGAGAGAGAGAGAGAGAGAGAGAAAGAGAGAAAGGGAGTATGATTGTCTGGCAATGTTCTCCTCTCTGTATGTTTTGATTCATGACGAAGACGATGGTGTCGAAGCGTCGGTAATCATCTTCCTGGTGAGATAAGATGTTGTTCGTAAGAACGAGGATCACGCTTCTGTTATGTACAATTCCAGCTGTTTCCAACCGGCTTCCCACCCTCTGTTTAGAAATATCCCAAATTTCCGGCGCCCCACGAACGTGTTGATGACAAACTCTCTGAGATCACTGCACTATTGTAAAGGCCCCCATTGACTAACGTATTTCTCGACCGGGGGTTCACGATCAATGTCTTTTTTTTTTCACGCCAAGGTAAAAACTGTTTTTCTGGTGATCATTCAGAAGAGCGGAGACGCTAACAAACTGCGTGGGAGAAAGAAGAAAAGAATAGAAACGTTTGATGGAAAGAACGTTGCGTCTGAGGAACGGATAAGGAAAATTATCGAAGGTTGGAAAAGAAAAGATTGGAACTCAAGAAACGGTAGCAGAGAGGCCTAAACAAAGATTTTTATCGGCTTTTGTACCTTTCCAAGACGGACAAAGTATAGTGCGTTTATTGATCCGGTTGTGAGTAGCAATCAGTACTTCGTGTTCGTCTAAGCTGTTATCCGAAGTTAGGTGAAAAACTGAAGTCGATAACCACGGAAATCTCGTTTAGGAAATAAAATAGTATAATATGAGAATACATTAAATAAATACTCTTCGATAATAGTCTGAATTGTTGGGATTAAGATTTACGATTATTTAAATTAATTATTCCGCGATTATTTCCCTCATTATTATTGTTATCATTACGTTTCTACCGTTGCGCTCTCTGGCATTCATCGAGTCGATCTGGATAACCTTCAGGGAATTTCGAACTGAAAGTTTTATTCAATCTCCGGGCGTAGAATGTTCTCACTCTGTTGATCTCGCTCTTTTTCCACTGAGTCTGCACTACCCAGCTCAGGGATTGAACTTATCTACTTCACCAAATTCTCAAACTAACGCTTTATACCATTAGGTTATTCTGCAGCAAAAACTGAGCAGCACTAAATGATAACCAGACAAGATATCCATAAACATGGTCAGCAGAACGATAGCAATATGATATTGGAATAGAAAACAAATAGAATTCGAGAATATCAGAGGTTTTAGAATTACTCTTCAAATGGAACGAAATTCATTTGCCGTAGCAAATTTTGTTCGAATTGAATTAGATCGTTCAAAAAGTACTATTTATATTATATTTACCCGATTTTTACTGGATTTACTGGAATTATAATTATTTATTTTTTGTATTTAATCATACATTTATTATTATCATTATTATTATTATTATTATTATTATCATCATCATCATTCGATTTCTGCTATGGACACACTACCTACCAAGTCTGCGGAAAGACCCCAAGGCAGGTCGTGGTGTGTTGTTATGGCCACATTTCGGTGAAGTTGCTAGCGTTACATAGACAAAGTTCTCCTTAGTGTGTGTGCTGTACTTAATAAGACAATTTTCTGTATGTCTCTTAAGCTGGGGTTTCCAGGGATTCTTTCAATGTGTTGTTTTGTTCCATTTTTATAATTCCAAGTGCACCTATTACCACTGGTATTATTCTTGTTTTCAATTTCCACATTTTTTCTATTTCAATTTCAGGTCTTTGTATTTTGATAGTTTTTCAAATTCCTTGGTTGCTATGTTACAATCCGCTGGACAAGCCATATCAATTAGTAGGCAAGTTTTTTCTTTCTGGTTTTTGACAATAATGTCCGGCCTATTTGCTTCAATTTTTCTGTCTGTGTGGATGGTATAATCCCATAGAATGGTGACATCTTCTATTTCTGTAACCGGCGCTGGCCGATGTTCATACCAGTGTTTGCTTACACATTTTCCAAAGTGTTTGCACATTGTCCAGTGTAAGTATTGCCCCACTCTATCGTGACGATTTTTATATTCATTTGGGGCAAGTATAGAACATCCTGAGATTAGATGGTCTATTGTTTCTTGGTATTTGTCACAGAACCTGCATTTTGGATCCACATTATTATGTATGATATTTGCCTGAAAATTCCTAGTGAAAAGACTCTGGTCTTGCGCTGCAAGAATAAAGCCTTCAGTTTCAGACTTTAATCCAGATGCTCGTAACCATCGATGAGTATTAACTTTATCAACATTGGGTTTATTTGCACGTTCTGGATATTGGCCATGCAGAGGTTTGTCTTGCCAGCGTTGTTTCATCTGTTCAAGGGCTTTATCCTTGGCTTTCTTTTTCATATCTTTTGCTGCAATAGTTGGTTCTTGGCTTCTGTTTTGATTTACTACAGAATCTACTATTATTATTATTATTATTATTATTATTATTATTATTATTATTATTATTATTATTATATTTCGATTTCTGTTATGATCAAACTACCTACTAAATCTGCGGGAAACCTAAGCCAGGTAGTGGTGTGTTGTTATGGCGACATTACATGATTTGTTTTTCCAACTTCCATAACTAGCGTTACATCGACAAAGTTCTTCTTACTCTACGGGCTGTACTTATAAAAAAAATAATCTCTTAAGCTGGGACTTCCAGGTATCTTTTCAATGTGTTGTTGTGTTCTTTTTTTTTTTTCATTCCAAGTGCACCTACTATTACTAGTACTACTCTTGTTTTCAATTTCCACATTTTTTCTATTTCGATTTCCAGGACTTTATACTCACTTACGTGCAAATACCCCTGGGAAAGGCATGAATCCACCTCTTCTTCCTCCTTGTATCATTAAACCATTATTATCTAAAAATAATGTCCACAATATAAAAATAATTTCTGGCTTTAAATAACCTGCAAAATGTTGATAAGCCGTAGAAAATGAATGGCTGAATCATTCAATCAATTGGGTATTTGTAAAATAATCAATAAATCATATATGGTTCAAATACAGCTCTATTTAGGTTTAATTTCTTCCGAGTTATTTTCTGGAAGATATTTTCAAAACGTGCTGTAAATAATTTATGTGAATTTTAGTGATTTATTCTATACAAATCCTATTATCCTTATAAATTTTATTTAATTTTCGTTAATAATACTACCCACACTGTGAGTTAAAGACATTCTAGGGTTCTGCTGAGTCTAATGACATTTCATAATCAACAATAGCCACACTAGTGGCGGTTAAATTCTGTTGTATTTTTCGATCAGTTGGCCACTTGTTTGTAGATGACTTTTATAAGTGCATGCGTACGTGGCTGGTTTTCATATAAACTGTTTCTTAATTGTAAGCATTTTTTTAATTTTGTATTATTTCTTTGGTTGTGCTAGTACAGACATACATTAGTCTATCACGCTAACCATCAAAGTCTAGTATCAATTGGTCATTAGGGTGACATTTTATGTCATAATTGCTCAATGTTGGTGAATGTTGGTCCATGGTCGACAATCCGTTTTACTGCACAATACTGATAATAATTTATTTATGCTCAATAGTAATGTAAAATTAGGATAGTTGTCAAAATCATTATTTTCCCCTTTTCTTAAATAGAATTATTATTTCGAAAATTTTCTTTTCTTTATAATCGAGGTCCCCCAAAAAAAAAACAAAACAAAACAAAAAAAAAAAACAAAAAAAACTGCGGTAACCGTTTGTGGGATTCTTCCCCGACTTCACTTAAAAGGTTTGTTTCTATGTTATCTTCGCCTGGTGTTATTCTTGGTTTTATATTTGGAAGTGCAATCCTTATTTCGTCTATTGTTCTCGCTGAAAAACTAATGGTGATATTTTCTTATTTTCGAAGCGTATAGTCATCACTATTATTTCACGATTATCATTACATTTGGTAGTTTCCTTGTTTCTGTTTTTTAATAAAGACATTCTATGTTTACCTGTGTCTGCTGTGGATCAAACATATTTCAAGCTATTCTCTTTTCTGGGGGCTTCTACTCTTTCCATGTTCATCTTAATCCATAATTATCATTCATTTGTTAGCTAATTTACTTAATCTAGACATTTTAATTTGATTTCAGTTTTAATTTACATATTTCTCCTCGTCTTCATCACTGCTTGTGTTGACTTAGTATTTCCAATTGTTTTATTGCTGTTAATATCTTCTATATTATTTTTCATTATTTCGTGAAGCCTGGAATCTGTTTTTGGTTTCTATTAGAATTTCAGATATGCTCTCTTTGATAATAATTACACATTTTTTAGAATAATTTTATTTCTCTCAATTCTGTGATCATTTCCAGGATTTCTTTTGCTTGTTACGGTTAGATCTTTATCATTTTTGGTTTTGAACGCAATTATGAAATCAATTTCATTCCTGATTTTGGTTTTGTCAAGTCCATTTATGACCCCTTCACTTTCGAAAAACTGTATTCACAATTAACTCTTTGAGAATTAACTAATATTTTTAACTTTTGTTTTTTCGCCTATTTCAAATTTTCTACACAAGGTTTTCAGTTTTTTTCACGTTTCCGCTTTGGCATAGATGCCGCTTATAAAAATGGTATAATTGACTCTCTCGTTGTCTGTAATGATACTGATGTTGTAAAATCTTTTAATTTCCGCACGTTAAAGTTTTTTTTTTATATTGATGCATATACTTGGATTACTTTTAGCTTTTAAATCTTTTAAATGATTTCAAATCTATCCAAGCTATTCCATCTGATATGTCGTCAAAACATATTACATTGCTGTCAATGCTATTATTGACTAAAGATCCTCTTTGGTGAACATAATTTCATATATTATTTTTTCAGCCTTTCACATAAAGCGGTCAGTCATACGTTTTGGTCTGTTAACATTTTGCCGCAATATAAAACACATAAAAATAAAACGTGCTTATAAAATTAGCCTTCTGCATAAAACGAGTGCGAATTTGAATTCGTGTACGTGTGTATGGAATAGAAGAATGGTAACTTTGGTCTGTGTTTGCTAACGCATTCCCGACGCTAAGTTCTTGCCGGGGCTCATGATAAAGCCACGCGACATCAGTCACACCATTTGGTGGTGGCGGTGTCATTAATTATAATGACAGAGACTGCAATCTGCAAATCATATGTAAAGCGTTTATCACAATATTCACACATTGTTTTTGTTCTTTGCAGACTCTTCCTTCGCGAAAGGACCGTGGTCATCACAGAGCTCGGCAGTCCCACAAGGTAAGGCCGTATGATCCAAATACATGACGCGATATTTTAGTTTTCCTTTGTGTCGTTCGAGCATCAGTATCAAATTGATTCTAATCCTTCTAATCCGCTTCTGCACCATCCAAATAAGCCTCCTCTTTATAGCTATACTTGTCTTTCCTTCCCTTTTTTCGCGTCTACTGCCGCTTTCTTGATTGAAATTTATTCAGCACAGCTAAGGTGGTCTCTGTGTTATAAAGTAACCAATTCTGATCAGAACACATTGTTAAAGTTAAAAAAAAAAACACGATGTATTTGACCGTGTAAACACAAATATAATTTGAACCGACAGTATTTTTTATATAAAATCAATTGCTGAAACCTGACGTGTAGACCGAACGATTAAAAAAAGGTTCGTCTACGAAACTCTCGAGTCGGGCTGTTGAATATAAAATCAATCCGCTAAGTTACAAATTTTATATTTGTATTAGTTCTATATAATAACAACAACACGTATTCTTATACGTATTTCCTACTCGATTCCAGGTCTATTCTAGACGGTTTTTAATGGAAATTATCCAGTTATTTGGTTGTATAAAGCACACGCACCCCTCTCCACATACAGACATATGTATATATATTAGGTTTATGACATTTTTATAATCCTATGTTCGTGTATCATAAATTGATTAATTTTCATTGAAAAATAATGAAAAATGCATTAATTTCTTTTAATTCTTGAAAAAGGTTGCCCTAAACCGAAAATTCGACTATCATATACGGAATAAGGATAAAATATCAAAATATTACAGAAGCTTTATTTTCAATTTGCTAATGATGCAATTGGATAGTACTTAAGTATTTTAAGGCATTAACAGTTTATAGCTATAGCATAACATACAAACTTTCAACTAAACTAAAACCAAAAGCTTGCATATATGATTAGAAACTTGCATATACGATTAGAAACTTACATCTACAGATAAGAATAGCTATAGAAAGAAAAAGAATGTGGAATATTTAGTATAATTATAGCATAATATACAGTTATGGCGTTTTCTTAAACAAAATAAATGTATTCTGAAATTTCTCCTTATTTTTACTTATTATACTTTTTCGTTCTACACACTGACTTGGTTTGGGAATTTCCAGTTTCGCTGGTTCTGGATTCCAAAAATTCTGTGAGCCTGCAAGTTGCTACGTGGATTCTGATGATTATTTACATTGTAGGTTTGACCAGGGCAATAATGGTCCGCTCATCTGTAAGAGATGAATCTACAAATTTCCGAGTAGCCAGTCTCTTTTCTTTGATAGAAGAATAAATGCCAAAAGAGCTTATTTTTTCTCCAGAATTCCATCTTGCATTACTTAAGTTAGGCATGATTTGAAATTCTACTTTAGGAACTCTTCCAGTTTCTTCATTAAAGCGGAAAACTCGAGTTAAATAAAATAGAAATTTCATATCATTACACCAACCTGTTGTTTCAGTAATCTCTTCTTTACTATTCTTGAAATTCTTCTTGAGATGTTCGTGGTTATTTTAAAGTTCACGGATAAACGGATAATCGATATTGGACGATGTGTCCTTTCCTCTAAATTCATCATCCATTACTACGTGAAGCGTTCGGTCAAGAACATGATATTGACAGCCAATGGGTTGTGGTCTTCTGGTTTCTTTTGAGAAAACACTCTTTGTAACTGAATGTCAACCCCATTTCTGATTCCATTGTTTACACTGGTATACACTACAATTATGCTTATGCTCTTCCATAAATTGTATTCATCTCGACCAACTGTTATTCATTTGACAGCAGTATCAACTTTTGCATTTGGTATATCTAATACTTCTGACTTAACTTCTGTTTTTTAATTCTTCAAAACAAGCACATGATATTCTTGACAATGAATTCGTTTAGCATCAAGACTCAACGACCAATTTTCTAAGTGTAGTGTTTTCTTCATTTCTTCTTTATGTTTAACAGCTATTTTAAAAGTGGATCTGTAAATATCAGATTGAGAAGGTGTACTTTGAGATAACTACTGACAAACATTTTCTGATTTTCTGGTTGATAAGTTTGAAGATGTTACTAATTTGATTGTAGTTTTGGTTTTGCTATACTTCTTCCTTTTTTCTTCTGGATTGTTCTTTAAAATTATCGAACTCTTCATATCCACACTCTGATTGAAACGTAGGACAATCAAACTAATCTATATCATTTTTCTTTTTCGTGTATACTAAACGAAGTAATCCAAGGTCTAAATGTCTACACATTTCAGTTAACCTGATGAATATTTATGCACGTCTTTAAACTAAAAAATACTTTTTGAAGATGTCATATTACGTAATCTAAGGTGTGAATGCGAAGACAGTTCAGTTAGCCTGTTGAATATTTATGGGTGTTTTTAAATTTAAAAATTTCCTTTCGAAGATGCTATATGACGTAAGTTAGGTTCTAACGACTAAACTTATCAGTTAATCTGATGAATATTTGTGAGCGTTCTTAAATTTAAACATTTTGAGTAATTGTGAAATATATACTTGTTGCAAAATAAAACCATCATATTGGCCTTGAGAAAGTCCGTCAGAAGAGGAAACGCATCGACTAAAAACTAAGCGTACTTTTCCGCTTGTCTTCATTCATTTTGTCTCTTCTACAGATATACTCCTTCTGAGAATATTTACACACACGCACGC